AATTGGGGCTGCATGGGCTTACTCAAGAGTAAGTATAATGATCACAGCTGCATAGGTTCAGGAGTTAAGTGTGTTTACATTCCATCTCAGAGGAAACTGCTCTGTCAGCTATCCTTCCTATTCTTTTTCCCCCAACAAAAAATCGAAGTTGTTTTGAAAAATGTAAAATGTATGAAAACACTTGTGTTATCCATAGCTGTGTCCCTAGTGCTGAATGCAGCCTTTGGGTGCTCCCTATGCACTATGCAGACCATAAAGGCAGGCTGCAAACCTGAAAATGCTGCTTCCTGATTTCCAAGATTACTGCTTTCTCACAGCTAGTAGCAGCCGAGAAAGCGAAACTCTTTTACCCTGCCCCCCATCCCCACATCTTGATGGGCAGGGAGGAGAGATATAGGGAGGGCACTGTGTGTGCCTGTGCCCAAATGTATTCTTCCCCAGTCAACCCTAGGTGTGACCCTTAGGACAAAAATGGTTATGCACCGCAATCTGTGGGATATCCAGAGTGCAGAAACAGATCCTTAGGGAACCACACCCCTAGAGCGTCTAGGAGAGCCGGGAAAACAAGAGAATCTGTACCTACTACTGACTTGGCATCAAAAGGGCAGAAAATGATTGCCTGAGTGCATTCTGGAGACTCAGCTTGCTGCAACTTCAAAGGCACTTAGAGCCTGAGAAGCAATTGTCGTGAAGAGGCTGCCTTCTCAGTTAGCAAACGTATTTCTTGTGCAAGCATCTGATCTTCAAAAGCTCCATGGCAACAGCTCCAGTGGGATTTGCAGAAATGAATTCTGCCTTTCTCGCTTGCAAGGGTGACAATATTTCTCTACATGACAATCTAGTTTATCATTTCCTAACTGCAACGTTTTAAGACAATTTCCACACTGGAAAACTAGATTCTTTTGTTTTGTTCTGTTTAGTGTTTTTTGTTGTATTTTAAGGCTAGTGTCTTTTGTTATATTTTAGCTTTTAGCTTTTTTTTTTTTTTTTGGCTATCTTGGTGGTTAGAATAATTATTTCACAGAAATATGTCTGTGGCATTAGAAAAAATGGGCTTTAGTCTGCTTATGAAAGCATATGCCACAATAAATGCGTTTGGAGTCAAATCCTAGCTTTGAATGAAGGGTGTGAGCATTTGGAAAGAGGCTGCAGTTCTACGCATTGACAGAAGCCCACTTTGACTGCGGTGCAGGCCACAAAAAGCTTTTTTCTTGTTGATTTTAGTGGCTTTTTAACTGCATTGTTAAGTCTTAATCAGTCACTTACTGTTCGTGCCTCAAAGAAAACAACTGCCCCACTGGTGTTTCTGCCAGCAGTAGGCCTTGAAATGAGGCATTCTGAAGCCCCCTTGCTCTTCCAGCATGCCCCCAGGCCAGCCCCCAGACTGTACTAGTCTTCCACGGGCAAAAGCATTTTCATTCCCACTAACTTCAACAGAGGCAACTTAAAACAAAAACCCAAAACCCAGAGCACTGGGGAATAGCTGGAGCACTGCCATCTCCCAGCCTTGCCACTGGGATGCAGTGATGCCCTGGATGCAATGACAGTTCCATGACAGATCTTGGTACCCCATCCTTCCCAGTGCATGGGAAGCCCATTGCTGCAATTTCCATTAAGAAGGTAAGAAGGCTGTTACTTCCTGCATCCCCTTCCCTCACTCCAGTCAGCAATTATTTTCTCTTAAGACTGTTTCATGAGACATAGATTCCCGATCATTTAAGCAATGCCCCTCCTTATTTATGAAGACAGATGCTATGATGCACTTCTGCAGTCGGGCTGTCTGCGGCTCTCTTCCATGGTACATCTCCGTGGCCAGGATATACACTGCACAAGCATGCAGGGTTCTGCCAGCAGGGCAGAGGCCAGGCAGACATGAAAGCACACAGCACTGCAATCGAGCATCCGCATCAATGGGCTTGCGTGCCCTTGATGCCGTGTTGGCCTGTGGACAGGGTTTTGTTGGCCTTTGATCTGTTCTGCTGCACAGTGTCCTTTGCGAAAACGTCTCCACCTCCACCTCCCGGTCTTCCTTTCATCAGAGGATTCACCCACCAGTGCACAGTAAGAGCTTGTTCCTGCCTTGCTGTCATCCTTTCCATTCATTTCATGCCGTCTGTCTCCTGGAGCGCCAGTGGCGGCCCTGCAGCCTATTCTGCTCATTTGCTTGCAAGCAATCAACCTTCGTGTGTTTTTACCAAGGAAACATTGCCCAGGTACCTTCTCCCCCTGGAGAAGTTCAGCTTTATAGCTTCTGAACACATGCATGATTCTGGGCAAGGGACCACATGGCTGGGCAACCACACCCTGGCAAGTCCTGATCCTTGTCAGATTGCGGGACACCAATCTGCTGCCTGCCATTCCATCCTTGACTCCCACCGGGCTTTTCATAGGCATGAGAAAGGGGCTGATAGAGCTGCTAGTCCTTTGGAATATCCAGTGGGACCCTTATGTTACTATGCAATACCAAACTCCGCACAATATTTACTTTAGATTGCACAATCTTTTTTTAATTATCACCTTGCTTCCATACTCTTAATAAATGCCCACTCTTCTGATAAGCATGCTGCACATGCCTTGTTAGCCAAGCTTCTGTAAGTGGATCCCGTGTAATCTTGAATGTGAACTTCTAGCTTACATCTAATTTGTGTTGCTCTTTTGCGTTACTTACGGTTCAATCTTCTGCATGTGTAGAAAGAAAAAAGCTCACCAGAAAAGCCAGCTGGGGCATGCTTGGAGCTTTAGGGGGGTTTCTGTCTAAATAGGCATAGGATTGTGACATTAAATGACCAGAATTCCCTGAACTGTAGTCATCAAGGCAGAGTAGAAAATGAATGGCCGATCATCCAAGGAGGACACATATAAATATTCTAATTTAGATGGTTAGATACAATTTTAATATTGTCATCATAAACATCATCATCAGTTTCATTCCTATATTGCCCAATAGCTGAAGCTCTCTCAGGAGCTTACAACAGTACAAAATGGTGTGATTTAAACAGGAATACAGTGCATCCCCCTTCACAGGGAAGGCCAGGACCAGCAGACCTGATGCTTGCTCAGTGTGCTGCCAGCTGCTAAGATAGCTGCTGATGGGCATCTTCAAGGGCCCGGGCTTGCTCTTTTTTGGTCCATGAACTTGAAAGAAAGCTTGAAGTAGGTAGCTCTTCAAAGAAAGGATTGTTCTTGATAAAGTAGGTCACCTGGCTGTGCCAAACTCTGGCTTTCTGCACATGAGGGTATTCACTGGTTTGGACCTGGCACTTTACAAAATGAAATTTATTTTGGCTTGCCCTTCACTGGTAGGCATTAGAGTTGATTAATCTTTCATAAAGAACTGGCTTTCAATTGAATGAAGGGTGTTTCTTTGCTGATTGCTTTGCTTTGCCAGGCTTGTCTATGGAAGTGACTGCTTCTTTATGAGATCATCGTTTGCCTCGGCAGGATAAATCAGAGCTCCCCTTGTATAAGCAATGCCCAAAAGAACTTCAGAGTAATTGTTCTTTCTCACCCTATTACAGCTGCATTAGATTTATCAGAGCACTGCACTGTGGGAATTGGATTTTCTGGGAAAGTGATGTGGCATCATAACATGAACTTAATTGATCTATCTCTGAACCAGGTGGGTGGGTATTTTCTTGCCATCTGTGGCACCTTGCATGTCTTTAGGGTTTGTGCCTGATCAAACATTTCCCCTGAGGTTGGGATAAAAACATGCAAGCTTTGGCAAGAATTTCCTTTCTTGGTTGTTTTGACCCTCTCCCCTCATGTGGCTTGGCTCACTTCTCTGAGTCATCTGCAACCATTTGCTTGGCTACCAACTTTCAGCAGTGCATCTGCTGCTTGTGGCACTGTGGATTGCACAGACTGATTTCTGGGGGTCTGGTGAAGGTGTATGATCGTTGGGTAGGCATCTGGATGAAATGGTCTTGGTCTATTCCAACTGATTTGATTTTCTAGCTTGCTTGCTTTCCTGTCATTTTTTGGCCTGACCACAACCCAGTTCCTCTTCAGAAACCCCAGGAGAGTCCACTAAGCTTGCATCAGGACATTGGGAGGTTTCCTGGCTATCTTTCTCTCCCCATGCCTTTCCCAAATAGGGGCTAAAGATCCCATTATAGGTAGCATCTTACCTCCTCTGATATTTGCAGGATGGGGAAAAAATGACTTCCCCACTCCAATTCTGCCTTTTCCCCAATTATCTGAGATTTGGAATATCTGTAGTTTTACAATAATGAGTATACTTCATTGCCAACTCCTGCTTTGCAGAGCTCCTCACATTAACGATGCCACTTCTACCCAAAAAAGTAGCAGCTGCTGAGGCACTAAATCAATGACTGCTTATTTTTGATCCAAACTGACTGATTGCCCTGATTGCCAAGTTCCAATACAGGCAATGAGAACTGGAAGTGTTTTGTGGGGGATTTTTTGGTATGCTGCATGATATTGTTCTGTTTGGGTTTAGATCATACTTTTTGGTTCTATCAAAATTATTTCTTTGTTTGTTTTTAAGTTTAAATATTGTGCGTGGTGGTGGGTCAAAATGCAGTCAAGACTCATATATCCATTCTGAGGCCGATTCCTTTGGGTACCTTTCTTTTTGCCTTAAGTCTTGTTAGAACATAGCAACCTTCCCCAACCTGGTGCCCTTCAAATGCATCAGACTGCAACTTTCATAAGGCCAGCCAATGTTGGCCAGAATGAGTGTGAGTGATGGTGGTCCAGTTCATCTGGAGGACACCAGGTTGGGCAAGGCTGGAACTTAGGAAGTGGCCTCTAACAGGTCAGCCTAGTTGTCCATCTTACCCAGTAATTATGTTCTGACTGGCAATGGCATTCCAGGGAGAGAAGGCTCTTTCCAGACAGCTGCTACATGATTCCTTGCTTTTGAAACTGCAGGCCTTAACCCAGCACTGCCGCTAAGCCACAGTGACCCCTTAATGTAGCTGCAAACCTGGCCTGCTGTCGTAAGTCCTCAGTGTATGCTTTGTTTCTTCCCACAGCTACAAGAGTGTGGTGACTCCCAAGCGTGCTGGAGTGGCCATTGCTTGCTGCTGGTTCGTCTCTTTCCTGGTGGGACTGACCCCTATGTTTGGCTGGAACAACCTGCAGAAGATCCAGGAGAAGAACGGCAGTCAGTCAGAGTACACAATCAGCTGCCAGTTTGAGAATGTGATCAGCATGGAGTACATGGTCTATTTCAACTTCTTTGTGTGGGTCTTACCTCCACTGCTTCTCATGTTTGTCATCTACCTGGAAGTCTTCAAGATCATCCGAAAGCAGCTGAACAAAAAGGTGGGATCCAGCTCAACATACCCAGAGAGGTATTACGGGAAGGAGCTACAAATTGCCAAGTCGCTCGCCCTGGTTCTCTTCCTCTTTGCTGTGAGCTGGCTGCCTCTGCACGCCCGCAACTGTGTCAGCTTTTTCTGCCCCTCGTGCCAGACTCCCAGTACTTTCACCTATATTGCTATATTTCTGACTCATGGGAACTCAGCTATGAATCCCATCGTTTATGCATTTAGGATTAAAAAATTCAGGACCACATTCCTGCAGATCTGGAATCAGTATTTTTACTGCAAAGCAGACAAGAACGTGAACAACATAAATAACACTGATATTGCCATCTAGGAGTAACCAGAGCTGGGCTGGTCCATAGCCTTCAAGCCACACAGAATGGTCTATAGAGATCCCTTTCATTGTCCAAATGGCCGAGTTGGCCATACCTCCACTGAATCCAATGCCAAGAGCCATTCAAGGGCATTATTTATTACTAGTAGTAATACTCATTGTTTCATTTGTTATTTTAGGAGCGGTTCTTCCCATAGCACCCACTTTTTTTTTAAAGTGACACATACTTACACATTTAAAGGGGAAGCTGCGGTGTCTCTTTCATTACAATAAAGAGGAAATGTATCTTTGTGGTGTTATTGCTGAGGAGTTGCTTTTAGCTTTGTTCAGTTTTGAAGGCTGTAGGCTGCTCAGATCACAGAAGAGAATCAGAAAAAGGAAAGCGAGACTTGTATTAGGGGTCACAATGCATCTATTAATTTTGCCAATAGTAGTAGCTAGTGAGTTTTTCTAGGAGTGAGACACGAGGACCGATTTCTGTCCTGATTTCTGCAAGAAGCCAGGTGCCAGTCACAAGCAAGGTTACAGAGTGGGGAAGAAGAAATGTCCCATAGAAAAGGTCAAAAGAAGACACAGATTGCATAAAACTTACCATAATGCTAAATGATATACATAGAAGCACATTTAGAAATAACTTTGGTAATTTAAGTGGAAATACAGTACACCTCACCCTGGTGAGGAATATTGAGCACAGTCTGCTGTCCAGGTGCCAACGGTTGAGGAAAATCTGCGTTTCCTGGGGCTCCTTCCTGTGATTCTTTACCTTGGATCCAATAACTCTGTTACAACCAGGATGGCCAACTTGTGGCCCTTCAAATATTTCATCATACAATTCCCATACCTGGTGAACATGATAGGAATCGTAGGCCAGAACATACTTGTGGAGAGCCATCATTGTTCACCCTTGAACCAGAGGGTGCCTTCCGAAAACGGGCTGTCCTCAGATAGCCCTTCAAAGAGAGGGCTGTCCTCTCTGAGGCAGGGCACATGGCCACCCTGGACCCAGGCCCATTACTTTGCAGTACCACATGCTATGGGAACCTAATGTTTGCGCTGCAGAGAGCGGAGCCAAGGTGCTGAAAGACCTGGCCATGTGCACCAACCTGGCCAGCTGCCTGTTGGGATGCCATCCCATTGCCCAGCAGAATTGGCTTTTAATACCAGACCGCTTTGCTTTTGTGCATGGAATAGGGAGAGGTACCACCTTTTCCTTCATCTCAGGCAACAGCCGGCTTTCAGTCGGTCTGCCATTTCTCTTGGCTTGATGAATAAGTAAACAGGGCACTTTTTAAACATATAGATTCACTCCAGCTGAGGTCAGATATTTATCATGTTCTCAAAATGTATCAAGGCCTATATCTTAAAATGTGATGAATTTCATTTCTTCCTCAGCTGGGCGGTATATTCAGAAGGTGTTCTCCACATCCAAAGGATCAATACAGTTTACATTATGGTGCTTTTACCATGTTAAATAAATGAATAAACGAACGAATGTGAATCTGGGCCAGACTTCAGAATGGTTAGGGGATTGGCTGCTCTGAATCAGGACCTTGAACCTGGAATTATGAGGACTTAAGGGAACCAGGACTTACACCTGCTGGGTCATAGCTTCTGTCTGACCCAGTTGTAGCAGGACCAGCCCTGCTGTCTGGCAGTGTGAGGAAACTGCCTCGTGTGGGAGATGCTGAAGGGCAGTGGGCCGACAAAGGTAGCCTGCTACCGTCAGGTGTGGTAGAAGATGCTGTCATATTATCACTGCTTGAAGGACAATGCAACAGCCAATCAGGTCACTTTCATATATGGGATGGAGGAAGGTGCCATCTTGTCCTTGATTCAAGTAACAAAATGTTTTGTGCCAGCACCGGAGTTGAAGCTGTAGACAATCCCTACTGAAATGAATGAAGATTAATCAGCAGTATAGTAGATTAGTGAATTATCATCTACATTTGTCAGAAAGGAATGCTGTTATATTCTGCAAAAAAATCAGTTAGCAATATTATCAGTACAGATTCTTAATGTGGACTAGTATCCTGACCTAGAGGCCAGTATTTCTTCACAGAGAACATTACCTCAGAGAAAACAGTCTCCGTGAAAGCTAGCTTGTGTGTATTGAATTGCTTCTCGCTGAAAATAAATGTCCCTGGCTTCAAAGCACGAATTCAATCTTGTCATTTTCAGCAGCATCTAACTGAGATCAAACACTAGTTGGAGGCACCTTCCTTCCAATTCCCTGCAAGCATGAAAGAAACCAAATAAATAGGTTACCAAGTATATAAATGAGAACCTACCATCCACTTTCATAAACCTGCTACTTCAGTTGTTGATTTGGATCATCTCTGGGGATTCTGCAGGTATGGACAGCCTCTAGAATTAAGGGCTCAGAAGCAGAAATTTACTAGATGTCAAGGCTTTTTACAACAGTACACGTACTACAGGCAGAATTAGCAAGCGATTGCATTCTGCTCAGGCCTGTGTATTTGCTGAAAAGAATCCTGCACGAATACGAGTATTAGAACAACATACTCTCAACCACTCCTTCCATTTAATTGCCTCATATTAATCAATGCCTTCCCAGGACTGCATTCCCCCCTCCCCAGACAATGAAGCATTCCTACCTAAATGGCTAAAGCAAACAGTCGAAGGGCTAAAACAGGAACCCACATCAAAGAAATGGGCTGATACTGAGAGGATGAAAGCAACCTAATGGCACAAAGGGATGACTATTGCAGTCACCGCAAATCAGCCAAAAAGTCAGTATCAACTTAGAAAAAATGGAAAAGAATACAATGGCATTAAATAGCTGGAACCTTGCCTTTCTGGTTGGTTCAAACAGATCTCCTTGTTCTACTGTGTTTTGCACAAGCGGTTGTGGTTGGGAAGGGGGGCAGATACTGGATTCTCTGGCTATTTTTTCCTACTAAGATGAATGCAGGGAGCATGCAAAGCAGAGAGGGACACATAGAAATCGGCCTCTGCAGAAGATCTTCCTATGATTCCAAGTGCCTTTCTATGTTAAGCGTTCGTTGCACAGTCATGATTGCTCACTCCTGGGACTTCGTGGGTGCTTTGCGTGACATCCTCCTTCTCCAAGACCTCTCCTATCTTCCTTCCATTTTTACAGCTTTTTATATACAGAAAAGCTGTATTATTTGTGCAGCATCAACCCTCATGAATTTGTGCAGATCCACTATACCACAGTACCACCTAGAGATTTTAGAATGGAACAGAAAGAAAGGGCGAGAAAAAAAAGCCTCAGGAAAAAATAATCCCACAACGTAACCCCACAAATAATCTGAAAGCAGAAGCCTCAGCCAAGTAGAGTGTGAAAAGACTTATATGTGGAAGAGCCCCATGCATAAAACGAGTAAGGAAAGGGGAAAAGGTCAGCGCTGGCTCATCTGCCTGCTGTACTTGCTCGTAGGTAAGACCTTGGTCTGGTGTGGATTTCACTGTGCAGTGCACCTGCCTGCCTCGATCCCCAAAGGTCGGGCTGGTTGACCGAGAAGGTGCAAGTGGATCAGGTGCAGACCCTCCAGTTTCTGATGTGCCCCTCTTTCAAGGATCTGGCTGCAACAGCCGAAAGCACCAAGTTTGGAAATCGAAAATGGATATTGTACAGCTGGAAGAGGAGCAGGAAAGGGCAACCAAAAGAATCACACAGCTGACCATTAAGGTTAAGAATTTTCTATTGTAAGATGTAGTGATGGCAACCGACTTAGATGACTTTGGCAAATTCATTGGGTTGGGGGGCTAGCAATGCCTTTTAGTCCTGCAGCAATATGCTACCTCCAGGTTCAGAGGCAGAAAGCCTATGTACAGGAGGGCACTATTGCGTTCATATGCTGCTTGTGGGTTTCCTGTGGAAATATGGGAAACAGAAGATAGGACCAGGTGGACCTCAGTCTTGTCCAGCAGGACCGTCTCATGTTCTCATGGACTACAGGCATGCAGGTGAGGAAATGACACACTAACACACAGAACATTCAGCAAACAGATCGGAATGCAGATGCTCCTCTCCAGCGCACTGCCTCCTCGTTCTGACAAATGAACGCCATCAACCAAACAACATTGCTAGAGGCGATGGAAACATGCACTGGGGTGTTTCCTGCTGTCCAATATGGTGGGAAGATGTGATGTATTCACAGTCACACACAGGACCTCCCCTGCCATAAAACAAATGGATGTCCAGTTTGCGTGGGAGGGATGACTCATGAAGTCACGCTTATCAAGAGGAATGAAAGGAGGGAAGGAGGGTGGCCACGTGTGCATTGCCAAAAAGGAGGAAGCACTTCACCAAAAAGGGAGGCAAAAGAGGGTACTTATCTGCATAATATTTGCAGATAGTAACTACAATTTTCATAGAGGAAACTGATTAGGTGACCCACTCACTGTGCTGGCCAGCAGCTGGCTGCTGATGAGCAGCCTCAAGGCCCGTACCCTCCCTTCTTAGGATTCTTTATCCTTAACCTGAACAATGCTTCAAATGCAGGATACCTTCAAAGGAAGGCCTGTTTTGTGTGGGGAGGCAGGCAGAGGATAAATACACACTTTACAATGGCCTTTTAATTTTCTAATGAGAACATTTCCTTTACACATCCCTTACTTTTGTGATACCCAGTTTGTGCAACTGCTGTTCATACAGTACTTTGTTTTATTCTGCAGTGAGTAACTGTGCAGCTGGTGAATGGAGAGTTTCTTCGGGAGGCTATGCTAAAATAAGCATTTAGGAGGTGGGGATGAAATGTGGTGACCCATCATAACACACAACACAGTTCCAAAATATAGTTTCGAATTGCTGTGAATGCCTAGAGAACATTGGCTATTGGGTGGTACAGAAATGGAACAAATACAGTTCCCAAGATGTACTTTGGTATTGAAAAATCCAAGAGCTTGTTTACAGAGAACAAGAGTTCATTTTAAGGAAGAATTCTCACCCAGGCTTACATGGGTGAGGTCAACCAATGCACAGATGTCTGACTGCATTTGCAGAAAACCCACAA